ATATTCTCAGAACGAGACGGACGTAAAGACGATGATTACAGCTGGAGTTTAATGATCAATTATTACAGCCCCGAGGCGCACTTACTTCAACGCTTTGTTTAATTGATTTTTTTTCTTCTGGAATCACCGCCGAAGCGTCTGAGTGGCAGAGTGTTACATAAATTAACGCATTCAAATTTTCATCAGTTTTGTTTTCCTCGTAGTTCAGTTCATTTGAGCTTTTTAGTTCCTTAGAGTTGTCAAGTGATGCCTATCGTCTCATTTGTAGTGCAACAGCTGTATAGGACACAATTCTATCAAACAAGTAACAAAATCAAACATGTGCGCGCTAATATGATAGAGACTTAATTTGATAGACAAAAGAGGGTCGATAATTAGGTTTGATTACGGGAGCTTCGTGCTGGAATGACTAACGGATCTTGAACTACGTTCATTAATTTCTATCTGCTCACGTCTGTTTGTTTGACAAAGCTGATGTTAAAATGTCAGAAGGGTTTTTGCGCATTTTAGGGGTGCCTTATGGATAAATTAAATTTCATGCACTTTTTACAATCAGTTGAATAATCAAGACTGATGTCATTCGGAAATTAAGAAAATTTAGTCAACCGAACGAAGCAAGATAACCTCATTGACTTAACAACGAGATCAGCTTCAAATTATTTCGAAATTTTCTTGAAAATAATTTATTTTGAATATTCTTTAGAGAAACCCTTTCGCTGACTTCCGTTCGCCCTTTGTTGTTCACAATCCGCTTGGCCCTGTTTCAGCGCACAGCACGGCATGATGCCAAATTGCTTATGGTTGAAAACCAATAGGGTTAAACTTCCTCTGCGAAAATGAACAGAAATGTATTCACAGAACAACAATAGCTTCTATTTTGGGTTGACTTCTATCAGAATCAATAATCATACGCGTTTATTTACCTTGCATGAAGAGAAATGAAAACTTCCTCAATTTTATTGTGGAGTTTAAAAGGAAGAGATATTTGGTTTTGACTAATGGATATAAGACTTTTAGTTGCCCCGGAACATCCACTGAAACACTGTCAATTTAATGTCATATGAAGGCATAAAGTTTTTGCGCTCGATCGAAGATTATGCTATGAAGAAGTAACAGGGACTGCGGAACTGGGGGTTTCAGCCCCCCACCCCCATTCACTTTTTGCGAGGATGAGGTATGTTAGAAGAATAAGAGAGAAAAAAAAAGAAAATGATGAAATTCTAAAAAGTTGCAACCTTAGACAAAACCTGTTGGAAACTTTTCGATTCGACAGAAAATATTTCATGGAGAGCCCCCAGGTTTGAAAATTTTCCGAGGAAGAATGGCCCCGGGTTCCCCTACAAATTCGCACACCCGGCGCTCCCCGAGTACAGACACAAGACTACTCTGTACGTTCTGTTTGTCAGACAGGTTCGCATTTTATCAATTTCATGAACTCCTTAAGTGTTGAAATATTCCAGATTCGTCCCAAACTCAGGACAGGGCTGAAAAAGCTCTTGGAAGCAGTACTCCTATAAGACAGACATCCAGTTTGAGTTTGTAAGGAACTTGCACGGTTCAACCTTTTATCCAGATCTCTCTTGTGGGTGCAAATTATGCGCCGTCATGACGGCGATTCCTTGAAAAACATCGATTAAGAAGTGAAATATTTGTGTTGAGAATTTTTTCGAGTGATTTACATAGTGTTAGAGAATGTTAAGAGATTTTAAAACGTACATGCAGGTCTGTTATTTTGCTCATTAAATCTTGTTTTCCCATTTTCTTGTCGCCTCACTCTCCTGGTTTGCCTAACGTTCCTATTACTATCACAGGAACAAAGGCACACGAAGAGACTCGGAAGGGGTACAATTTCGCAAGAACCCCTAACCACGCCCTTGAGGGAGCACTTTTCTCCAAGGTGCCACAAATGACAGTCCCCAAATGAAAGAAGCCAAATTAGAAGTTGATAATTCATAAATAATTCTTTATTTATTTGAATACCTTGATCTAATAATTGATTCATTCACAAGTATGCAGAAAGTTCTAACATAAAATGAACAAATACTTTAACATGTTAAAAATTAACAGAAACTACATCAATAATTTTCTCCTCCACAGTTTGAAAAAGAAAGTATAATTTAGTTATGAAAAAGATTTAGATAGAATTTGAGATATTCTTAGTAATAAAATATATTTCCTTCAATATCCATGACTAAATTTGAGGTCTAATGAAAAATAATGCTTTCATTTATTAAAAAAAAAACAACAAGTGAAAGTACTCTTAAGGTATCAAACCTACATTACTCTCATAAACGTTTGGATACCTTTCTCCTTGAAAAATATTTGCCTCCTTATTGAAAAATCCTTCCTTCTAAGATTCTCCTTAAAATCTATTACAAGTATGACTGAGTCTGTTCCTTATTTATTTTACGTCTTTATATATAGATCCTTTTGTAAATTCAAACAATTCTTCTGTCAGGGTTATAATTACCCTTCAACTCTCAAGATTTGATTACTAATCCTCCGCTCTAACTGCTATACATCTCCTTGAAAATTTTTGCAGTGATTTTTTTTTCATCCATGAAACAGGCTTTGTCAAAAAGCAGGGACTGGTCCTAAAGGAGATTAATTTAGTCTAAATGAGACTAAAATTTTTAATGTTTATTTTCCCTGTTCATAGCTCTGAGAAGTACATATTCCTGAGCTTCCACACAGGACTCTCTGTCTCTGCAGAGAATACATCAGCATACATCAGCATCCATCAGCATCCCTTGCACATATCAGCATACATTTCATACAGTTCTCACATGATGAAGGCTTCTATGGTGATTGCTTCTGGTGATTACCCTCCATTTTAAATCATTTTTAGGTGGATGTACAGCCATGTAGAGCACAGATGCAAAATAAACATAACTCATCAACATCTGTGAGAGAAATCAAAATAAGTGCACAAAATTAATAGCTGATGAATATACAGTGAAGTCACTGTAATGTAAAATTTCTATGGCTTTGTTACTAACTAAAGATACCTGGGTTGAAGCAATAAGCTGTGCTAACCACATGTCAGGGACAATGGATGAAGTACCTGCAAAAAAAGTCATTTAAGAAATGCATTTAAGCGACCTACCACATGGAAAAGGGAGGTACACATAGCCTTTGTAAAGTGTTCCCCACCCCACCCCCTGAGGCTGGAGGAAATGGGATAATTTCCCAAACTTTTGTGCTCAGAATTGAAAAATTATGTCTTCCATCAACTACCACATAGAAAAGGGAGGTGGCCTGTATATACTGGCCCCCTCCCTCCTAAGGCTAGACAAGAGTGGATGGTCTTCAGTGATTAACCATATGGACAAGGGAATGGCCCTCTCTCTCCCTCACTCCCTTGAAGGTAAAGGGAGGTGGATGCTCTCTTCCATTAAGATATCCTTTTAAATACCATTACTAACCAATGGCTGATTAGCATACTGGCCACTGATATGTATGCTAAAAAAAATAAGAAAGCAGCCCAGTTCCTCTTATAGCTTAAGTAGCAATGATACCAGTGATGGAAAGTTAACTAGTGGAAATGGAGAAAAATCTGTTTCCTAATTCCTTCCCAGGCTCAATTTCCTGGCCACTGAGTAAGACTGTTTCAGGAAGATGAAAACCCAACTTTCAAAAAGTGTTGCAATGAAGCCCACAGATTCCAAAAAAGCTTAATAAAGTGTGTACTCTGTATGGTTCCAGTTAAGTGAGAGCTTTTCTCATTTAGTGCCCTGGATGCTGGCTCAAGAGGTCTGGGTTTGAGAGGTGGCTTGCTCATTGCGGCAAAACATTTAACTCTCACAGGGCATCTCTCCACCTTGGAGAATAAAGAGGGCCTCAATGCAGGGTGATGGCTTTAACCCATAAATCCTAAGATGTTGTTAGCAATTCTCCTTACTGTCTGCCATATAGTTCTTGTGGTGTTAGTTTGGAGAATTTGGTATTGGATAAACTAATAATCCCTTAATTAATGTTTTTCTTAAGACCCTCTATGAAAGGACACTAGCAAATTGTCAAGGAGGCTTGATGAAATGCAGAGGGGTAGCCTTGCAATAGACTCACAGGCATCCCATCCAGAAGGAAGTAGTAAATTACTCCTGGTCAGGTTATGCTTTGGAAACCAAGATAAGCTCTGCTTGATGGGCCCCTTGGCTGGAGTAAATAATTTACCTCCCTATCTATCTTAATGGAGGACAAGGCTCAAAGTTAAACCCTTTTTGCAGTTGCCATTTAACCCTTTAGCTCCTGGTTCAAACTTGTAATTCTCCTTACTGGCTTGATGGGCCTCTTGGCTAGTGTAAAGAATTTACCTCTCTACCTATCTTACCAAGAACAAGGTTCAAAGTGAAACCCTTTTTGCAGTTGCCATTTTGGAACATACAGTGATTTGTAGAATGATTACCAAAAATTAATTTTGGTTGGAAAAATTCATCAAGGCTCAGTTGTATAAAGGATGAATAATGCTATCCAATGGACAACTTGCTATCCAGCAAGTAAGTGATTGTAAAATGTATATAGCGTTGTCCACTGCATAAAGATTCATCCAGTGGATAGTGTTATCCAATCTTCTTTGAACAACTTGGGCCAGATGAAAAGCTCACCACACAGAGTTCCAGTTGAAATGGAGAAAACAGCCATCTTGAAAAATATTAATGGTGTACTCAATGGATCTTTAGCACCTGTTAGATGCTGAAATGAATTGGACTGACAACAAACAAACAAAAGAAATTAATTAAATAGCAAAACATTTTGAAAAAATCACTGAAAGAGGGTATGGAATGGCTGTTTTCAGGAATACATCAAACAAAAGTGAAGCTAATGCATAATACAACAGCACTCCTGACATGACCAAAGAACCCTAGCATTAGTTTTAACCAGCACTAATATTTTTCTCAATTTTTTTCAGTTCTCAAGTCAAGTCCTTTATGTTCTAGCATCAGGTGTGCATATTCTCCAAACTGTTCTCTTTACATTTTCCTAGGGTGATGCAAGGAGAATTTGTTTAACAATCCAGAGTTTCTTTACAAGGTGATCATTTCCTTTGTTCCTGTGACATTCATGTGTGATTCAGGGGTGATATTGTAAGGAGAAATTAGATGCTGGTCACTCCTAGGGGTCAAGGGGTTAACTAACTCTGTTGTACCACTCACCTCAATTTTATAGACCAGTGTGTAAAGCCCAGCGTAGAGGAGTGTTGTTGATAAATATGACTGTGCAAGGAATGATTTTGTTACTGTTTGATGCATTATTTGCTTGGTGAGTTTTACTGCGACAGAGAAAATAAAATAGTTTAGGATTGTACAAGACAGTGTGTGACTTCATGTGGTCCAGATGGTAGAATACCGAAGAGGCCTCCAAAGGAGCTCAAAAGACTGATGATGATGATGATAATAATGGTAATATACAATAGTGAAATGGCTTAACCCTCTACACCCTGACATCAGTATGCATATTCTCCATACTGTTCTCTATACATTTCCTAGGGACTGACCAGGAGAATTTTTGTATCCCTTTGTCTCCTAAATGTGACATGCATCTAAATTCTCTTTACAATATCATCCCTGATTCACACATTGAGGTCATGAGAAGAGAACAAATGATCACCAACTAAACAAGCTCTTGATTAATAAACAAATTTGTAATGGAGAATATGCATACTGATGTTAGGCTGTAAAGGGTTAATAATCAAGAGCTTCTTTAGTCAGTGATCATTTTCATGGTTCTCATTACCTAAATGTGTGATTCAAAGTTACATTGTGAGGAGAAAATAGAGGCTGGTCACTTTAAGGGGATTAAAGGATTATTAAGGAGTACACAAGTATGAAGAGCTGCTGTTTACTCACTTGTTGTTAAGATGACCAAAAGCAAATTTGCTGCTTGAAAAACCACAATTACACTTACACTCTGTAAGAAAGGAAAGCAAAATTGGAGAAATTTTAAAGTTTAACTAGGATCTCCATTAAAACACCTTTAGAAACTGACTTCAAGTTTTTTCCAACCAAATAAATCAAGAGAATTCAAAGACAACACATTTTCCATACAGCCTTATCACATCTAGTCTTGTTATCATTCACATTGAACACTTTTACTCCCAGAGCTGATTAAGATGTAACTTCTCCCTATAATATTTATACAATTCCTAGCAAACAGGTAATGAGAATACCCAAACTTATCAAGTAAAAGCTGTAGCCTTCATGACAAATTCTTGTAACTAATTTGTGTTGCAACTTGAGGGGAGAATTAACAATCAGATCACAAGAGATAAAGAGTTAAATTGTACATATCAAAGCAAAAGTTACAATAGATAAAAAATGATTTGGAAATTACCACAACATATATAGTTTTGTCCTCTTTTTGTTGATCACCTTTGGGCTGATTTGCAAAAGCTTCAGTAATCGTAACAGCCACTATGTTCAGAATCTAGAGCACAACGAAAACTATTGAGACTTGTCAAACATGAATTAGAATGCCTGATCAATAATTTAGGACAAATAATTTTGAAATACAAAGCAAAAGTAAGTGAAAAAAAAAGAGTAAAAGAGTTAATAAATTTATACCTGCCAGAATATTGTCCCAAGCAAAAGATGTCTTGTAACACATGTTGGAATCCTGTGACTTCTGCAAATAAAATCAATGGTCAATAAAATTTTTCAAACTAAGGCTGACTGTAAAAATTTAAAGCCCTGTTTAGGATAAAATGCACTCATAAGCATGTCAAATAGAAGCCAGCGCCTTTTCAAACTCAAAAAAACCAGTCCATTCTGATTAGTTTCCTGATGTTTTATTGACAGTTTAACTCCCAGAAGTGATCAACATTGTACAATCCTTCTCCCTTTATTATCCAATCATACATTATCAACCAAACAGGTAATGAGAATACTCAAACTTATCAGGTAGAAGTTGTTCTCTTGGTCTAACACCAAATTCTCACAACTAATTTACAAAGAAAAGTGTAGCAACTTCTGAAGGGAGAATTATCAGTCAGATCTTGGGAGTTAAGGGGTTCGTGTCTCCATTTCAAAATCACATTTGAGTCCAGTATCTGCTGAAACTTTCAATGGACCTGAAAAAGGGGCATAGATTCCAGCCCTTCTTTTGGCTTGAAACCTGTCATGCTTCTTTGGCAAGTTAGCATAAGACCAAGAATTTTAGGATGCAGTAATGAACTGGATAGTGACAGTCTAATGCTAGGTTTACATTTATTCAGAAGGTTGTCTAGTTTTCAAAGCCATTGTGACCATCATTCTCAGGAATACAGTGAAAAAAAATATGTATTCCTGTCTGTTTATTACTCATTGAACGAGTTCTTTGCAGATTTCTACTGCATTTCACTCGAAAGAAGGTACCATTGTTGAAAATGCAAAAGAGAACTATGGGCCTCAACTTTTAATGTGTGGTTTATAATATTACAGATACCGTAATCTTACACAGTTTTCCATTGACTATGATTTCAAAAGAGAAGAAATGGCAATAAATATTTTCAAAATATTTCAGGTGGAGTATGCCCCAAACTCTCCCTAAGTTTACACCATGAGCACCTGTGGTAATGCCTTAGCAGTAACCAAAACCTCCCATCTTTTATCCCAAAAGGTTGATATCTCTAGAGTGTTGCAAATGAGAGGTAAGAAAGGTTAAGTCTGTACTCAAGCCTAATGGCCTGCCCAGCCAGAGCTTATCTTGGTTTCCTTGTCACAAAGCAACTAGAAATATCACTACTTCTCCTTGGATTTGGATACTTGCAAGGTTATCCCCCCCCCCCCCCTCTCCCCCTTCCACCAATTCATCATACATCCCTAACAACTCATTGGTACCCATTTACACTCCTGGGCCCTGTTGCTTGAAAGGCCGATTGGCACCAACACAGGCTCACATTTAAATCCAGGTTTCTACATTTCTCTGTTCATAAGCTGTTTTGGGATCATTTTCCCAATTCTTTTTGGAGCATTCAATCATCAAATTATATACAAATGGAGCTAATTTAAATTTTCTTTTAAAGCTTTCAGATCTGAAATCAGATTTCATACCAACCCTGGGATATCATCACCCAGCTTTAAACAACCCAGCCCAGGTTGGAGAGAGGCACTGTGAAAGTAAAGTGTTTTGAACCTAACCCTCTCAACCTCAATCTAGCGTACTAACCATTACGCTCACGCATTTCCTCTGGGGTGAAAATGAAGCCAAACCAATTACAACCGTCCTGGGCAAAGTAAACAGAAACTATGTCTGTACCTCCCAAGCTCCCAGCAACCTTAACCCATTACAGCTCCTTCTGAGCAATAGGCAAAACTATAGTTGGCAGGGGATTGGCCGCTTTCGTGTTCGTCATCGTTATCAATGGATACCCGACAATGCTCAAGGAGAACACCTCACGGACAAAAACATCCGGAATGAGTGAAAATAATCAGTTCCTTTTGTTTGTGTCCTGCCAGGCTGGTTATCAAGGAGCTTATGTTTGCATCTGGCAATCCACATCAGCGATAAAAATCAACACAAAAAGAGATTAGAGAAAATGACTGTAAAAACCTCACCTTCGCTGCCTTGTTAAACTCTCTAACTCAACTGAGTTTAAACCAACTTGCCGAAGCATGTCGCTTGTGGAATCCAGAGCTGTAAGCAATTCTTCGAGTTGTTCAAAACTTATATTGACGACAGGATCTTTGTGACGTCTTCTATCTCTTTCATAGTCATTTTCCTTTTCTCTCTCTGCAGAACTTGACCGGCTCAGTGCATCAGGTTGCACGCCTAGCTGATCTGCTAGAGATAAAAATCGAGAGTCTGTGCTAGTTTCCTGAGGCCCGCCAGTTTCCTCTGTCGAGTAAATTCTTTCGCAATCTTTAAGAAGGGGGGTTGTTATTCTTGTAGCCATGTTCAAAAAACCTGTGTTCAAAGGTCTTGCATCAAGGAAAGTTGCACAATAAATAATCCCGTGATCTTTCCTCCTTCCTAGCAACATTCGAAATGTTCATTAAACCGCGCGAGACTAGTGACAATTTGCACCAGTTCCCATCATGCCTTTCGTTGTTACCTTTCACTTTAAACATGGCGGCAGATTTGGGTGTAATATCTTGACAATTAAGGTCTCCTACAAGCTGATGCAATATGCCAGTGTATGTTCCCTACAAAGATTTATTTCAAGACTAACCAGAAGTTGATGATGTTGAGAGTCTTAGGCGCTTGTAGGTGAGTTGATTACGTAAATTCCTCCAAGTTTAGTACCAGCTAAGTTGACCTATAAAATCTAAAACTGATATTTTTCGTGGGGTGGGTCTAGATTAGGGACATCGTTTCGTGGTCTGACGAATGATAACTTAATGAGGTACTCTTTTGTAAAAAATAGGCGATTTGTTTCTTTTGTTGGTGGAAAGCGTGGAGTTGCCTTCGTGATCCCCTAGTTTGGATTGAACTTCGTACATGAAAGCATATACATTTGTACAGATTTGTATTATGCATGCGATCCCTAAATGTTTGATCGATATGGACCATTAGTCAATATCTGTAGAAATACTGAATAATTTTATTCATAACGCGATAGAATTACAAAAGTGTTTGAAGTTGATTTGAACGAAATATTGATAAATTTGAATTACATGACCAGAAGTTCACCACACTTAGGTAATAAGAGGCGTACATTTATTATTTAATTAATAAAGTACAAAAAATACTGCCCCATGATTTAAGATTGGTATGTTTATTATATAGCATTCCCCTTAAATTTAAGTGTTTTATTTATAAATGTGGGCTAAATGAGTCACAGATAGAGACAACAACAGCAACAGTTCTTTTATTGCTCACTAAAATGGTATCACAATGAAATAAGACAATTATCTCTAGTTAACAAGAAAAACTGAAAAAAAAATTTTAAATTTCATAGAGGCTAGATGAGCCATTAGGGTTTCAAGCTAGTCCCTATCTGATTAAAGTCAGTTTTAAATAATAATAAGGAAAAGATCAGTAAGAGAGAAATATTTAACCAGACATAATATATAAAATGTAGTACTACTAATTGAGACAGGTACTCTGATTTCTGTTCAAGTGACTTGTGATGTTCTGACAGTAAAGAGAAGTTGCTGTTCTCCTCCTGAGTCTAAATGGACATTCATTTGAGTTTGAATCCTTTTTTTTCTTTTTTCAGCCTTCACTGTGAACAATGTTTAAAAAGGAAAGCTACAGAGAGAGCTGAGATTTTTCTCTCAAAACATGTTGCTTCAGGGAGATGTATCAATTATCATAAAAACCACATTCACACTTTGTTAAATTTGAGACAAAGGAACATTCAAACATTTGTCAGAATGCCCTATGGAATGTTTCCTATCGCCACACGGATTCTTATAAACAGGGGTCTGAAAGGAGAACGCATGTTTACTACAGGGATCTTGAGGGCTATGATGCGAGTAACAAGAGTAAGGTACCTTCTTCTTGGCACAGCAGGTGCAGGAGGCATTGCTGCAAAAGTGGTGAGTTATTGGTTCTTAGCAATGAGTTTTGATCTTCTCCATTATAGTGTTATTGAATTGTTTTTATTTTGAATTGTTCCATCCAAGCCCAAAGGTTTAGAATGCCTGCTTCCTAAATCCATCAGGGGTTCTTTGAGCACTTAACCCTTTATCTCCCAGAAGTGATTAACATAGAGCTTCTCCTATAATATCCATGCATCATCCTGCAAACAGGTATCGAGAAAACTCCAACTTATCAGGTAGAAGTTGTTATTTTGATCTAACACTAAATTCTTATAACTGATTTACAAGGAAATGTGTTGTAGCTAGAGGGGAGAATTAACAATTAGATCTTGGGAGTTAAAGGATTAAGCTGCACTAGGTTCAGAAAGTAGGATATCCTGAGAGAACAGTTTTATTTAGCTAGCATAACTAGTCCTCTTTCAACTTAGACATATGATTCCTGGAAGGACAAGTGGCTAAAATTTCAAGAAACATTACCTGAATTTAGCTGGTTGAAAGATCTGCAAGAAAATCTACCAGACTGGTCCAATACATTTTCAGAAGGTAATTTAAAATTATGAAGTAAATATGTTAAAAATTCTAAAAATTAGTTTTTCATGCAAAGAGTTTCACTCATCTTCCATGTGCCATTTTTTTGGTTCTCATATTATTTCCATTTATTTTGTTTTTATGTTAACTATTAGGCTCAGATGCCACTCGCAGCCTTGTTGAGAGCTTTAAGGATTTTGTGGATGAATTTTGGTCTTCAGGTATAATGCATGCAGCTGTGACAAGTTTAATATCATTCTCATCATCATCATCATCATCATCATTATCGCAGTTGTTGATACCCTTTTGTGTGAATGGACACAGTTTGTTATTTAACACTAATTTATGATACTTGCAAGATGTGAAAATAACTGATAGTTTATCATGTGGAACTATTTTGTACTACCAACATGCATAGCCAGATTTATTGATGGTAATGGAGGTAATAATTATTGTGACTGAAAAGCCTTATTGAAAGGAGTCTCGATTAAGTGTGTATGTCAGTAGGTTGGTCCACTTTACCATCTGTAAAAATATAACTTTTTAGTACTAGTGTCTTGGTTTTTGTGTCCAATCTTACGGACTGGGCCATAACAATTCAGAAACTGAGATGAAAGGTTTAAGGCTGTTTTTTGTTCATCTTGGTAGCCATTGGCTATAAATTTATTTGTGGTGGATCAGTACCCATGTGATGTACCTCACATGTAGCTTGAAATGACAGTTTGAAATTGGGTACAAGAGTTAAAGAAAAAATTTGAAAAGGACTGTTCAGGTACCAGGCTTATATAAGGAAATCCTTATAGTAAAAAAAGTGAGTTGTCTTTAAGTTTTGTCTTTTCTTTGTGTCAGAAGTCAGCCCTCCAGTGGTGTCTGCTGCTATTAAACAAGAAAATGGTGAAAAGACTTCATCACCAAAGAAAACAGCTATGGAAAAGGTAACTACTCAACCTCTGTTACAGCAGTGTGTCCGTAATTATTTAAAAATTCTATTCCTTGTTGGAGACGATTCACTGGATTTATGTGAAAATTCAGTGGTTCCATCCATGACTGGAGAGGTAGTGATCTCAGAATAGGTGGTGTTGTGTTGGTTTGCTGTTTAAGTTCTGTTGATAAGTTTGGGTAATATTTCATCGTTGTCCTTTTATCAAATGCCCAACCTTGAATAAGCACCCACCTTGAATAAATGCCTATCCTGAAAAAGCACCCATTTTGAAAATATACCCATGTTGAATAAGTGCACACCCTGCAGGTGGGAAAAGTTAATGGGCAACTAGGAGGAGTATTGATTATTTTTTCTTTACTGGCTTGCCATCTTAAAATTCACTGCTTATGTTACATCTTTCTGTTTTGTCATTATTGATTTTTTTTTTGTTGCTATTTAAAATTAGAATATCTGCTAAAAATAATGAAAATTTTAAAGGTGCCCAGTCTTGAATAAGCACCCACTCGTAACGCCCATAAATTTGATAAGTGCTTGGGATGCTAAATTAAGTGAATAATTATGGTATTTGAATAAGTTTATTGGTCAACTAAAGTTTTATAGCAATAAAGTACTATTCTTTTACATTAATTTCAAGCGAAAGGTACGTAATGGTTTTTAATGTTGACACAACTCTACAATTCTTCAAGTGACAGTATGTTCTGCTTTCTCAGATGCAAGAACGTTTAGAGAAATCTCAAGAAGAACTTATTGAAATGCAGGTTAGACCACATTGATTCATCACTGTATCCTATCAAACAAGAGAGATATGATGGCTGCACCTTTAACAGGCTGGGCTCTATGTTCAAGAGGTCCAGGGTCATTAGAGAGTTTTAGATCCATGTTTGGTGTTTTCACCACAAATGTCAAACCACAGTCAGCAGTTTGTGGTTAGAAGTTAGAAGTTTTGAGACTTTCAGCTTTTTAGATTAACATCAGCTTTCACCTGAAAAAAAATCAACATGTGTGCTGCCATCTTGAATTATACAAAGGATGGAGATCCTTCATTTCAAACACAAAATATGGCTAAAAGATTGGTTTTCAAGCTTCCCAAACATATTGGTTATAATAAAAAGATTTCACCTCACATATGTTTATAGGACATATGTGAGAACTCTTGAACAGGAATAAAAATAATGTCAAGGGAGTTCAACTACCTGAAACTGCCTTGCTTGAAGTTTAAATGTAGACGGCAAACGGTGAACGTGACAACTGAAGTCTGGACAAGTGACTCCTGGCAGTTTGCAGTCACACGCATTCAGAAACAAATGTAACATGCATTCAGAAACAAACGTACATCTTAAACTCTCTATTGTGTTGCATTCCTGGGCAAGACCCTTAACTTCAATTGTACCTCTCTCCGATCAGGAGTTTAAATGGGTATTGCTGATTTATCAGGGAAAGCCAATGAAATGCCTGAGGGTAACCCATGATTGACTACACTGGCAATTACCATTCAGGAGGAGCAGTAATACTCCCAGTCACTTAATGTTACAGAAATCAGGGCACCTAAGCTCTGGCACAGACTTAACCTACCTATACCTCTATATCAAACAGACTAAGACTGAATCTGCAAGCAAAGCATCATTACAAATTTCTCAATGTTCACAATACAACTTTGATTAACAGACCAAGCTTGATTGCCCTAAGCAGAGGGATTTAAGGGTGTTTTAGTGGGTGTACCGGTACCTGTGAGGTACTCTTCCTACCTAATAACTTAAAAGAAGTTTAATTGAAATAAATGTTTAATTTCTCCACAGCAAAGATATCAACGAGAGATCGAAAAGCTTGAACGAGATAATAGAGAGTTGCGAAAACAAGTTATCATTCTGAAGGGTGACAGCATGCCAACCCCCAGAAAGATAAGGGTAAGTTTAGATATTTCCTTTTCTATTTTTGGTAAAGGTTAACAAAAAGTGAAAATCCTCCATGTCAAACTAAAGGTTTCAAGTGAAATTAAAAAAAAAAGTCCTTCAACCCTTCAACTTCCATGAGTGACCAAGACAGAATTTCTCCTTACAATATCAATACAATGTCAAGCAGACAAGTGATGAGAATTTACAAAAATATCAGCAAGGGGATGATTAGTTGATTGTATGGCCGAGAGACAGATGAATTGCTAAATAAACAATATCTTGGGAGTGAAAGCTCAGGTTAATTAATAGTTATAAGAATAATTTTGTTGTGTGAGTTATTATTAAAGTTGTGTGTTATGCACCTTCCATTGAACACTGTGTGGGGATCAGGACCATTGAGAGAGTTCTCTTTATTTTCTGTGTTGTTTTCTTTCTGTCAGAAATCTTTGATTGACATGTATTCTGATGTTCTGGACTTGCTGTCAGAGTATGATGTGAGCTATAACACCACAGACCATCTTCCAAGGGTGAGTCGCAATCTGTGATATACCTTTGAAACGACTTTCTCAAGTTGTGAAAGATTCCTCTTACTTTATATTCATTAACCTGCAGAGCAGTTGTAGTTTTGGCGAGCTAGTGCTAAGTGTTACCTGGTGAAAATTATTGCTGCCATATTTTAGTTGTAATGCAGCAACAGGCTGGGAAGGGAAACAAAAATTTTTTCCAAGGGGGTGAGTGACAGTCAAAAGGAAGGAGAGGGGAGGGGGTGGGGGAGTGGAAACTACACATGTCCAAGGTCATTGTTCTTTTGTTATGATGGTTTTCAGGTGGTAGTGGTTGGTGATCAAAGTGCAGGCAAAACAAGTGTCTTAGAAATGATTGCCCAAGCTAGGATTTTTCCTAGGTTAGTTACATCTTTTATGCACAGTATTGTAAAATGGTAATAGCTTCCTTTTAACCATTCAGTAACTTTCTTTTCACTGTACATGTGCTTTAAGTACAACTTTATGTATGATCATTGCAATATTTTA